AAATTTTTGCCCCGCATACCGATTAAAAACCCGCATACCGATTTTCGTCCGAGACGCGTCCAATGTGCCCTCACATGTGCCGGCCGTCCCATTGTTTACCAGCCAGCCTCCGCGGTAACATCCAAGCATACACTCGGAATATTTCGTATTATTACAGTGTTTTCGGTGGTGTTTCTGGAAAATAAGTGACCATGGGCCCCAAGAAAGCTTCTAGTGCCAACCCTGTGGTAAAAAGGGTGAGAATTAGTATGGAAATTAAGAAAGATTTTGAAGGGTTTGGGGCTAACCCTGAGAAGCCTATGCCAGTTGTGGAATCCATTGTGCCTACTTCAAAGATTAAGGAAATGTGTGCAGAGTGGTTTGAACTGCAAACCTTTATAGATGAAAATCACCCTGACACAGCTGTTGCAAGCCGTGCTTGTGACTATTTTCAATGACAATGTTATGGCCCATTTTAGGAAAGTCTTGAAGAAACGGGAGGTACAGAGCTCTATGGACAGATTTGTTGTGCGACAGAGGTCCAGTGACTCTGAAGCTGGTCCTAGTGGCATTAAAAGAAGAAGGGAAGTAACCCCAGAAAAAGGACTTGCTACCTCAAGTCCTAATGGAAGGGGATTCCCTTCTAAACAGTAAGAAGATAATGCTCTCCCCTCCTCCCATCCCATCAATCATCACCAGATCTTCAATAAAAGTAAGTGTCATGTAATTGTGCATGCCTTTTTCAGTTGTGTGTATTAAAATTAACATTTCATGTGGTAAAAAAAATTTTTTTTCATACTTTTGGGCGTCTTGCACGGATTAATTTTATTTCCATTATTTCTTATGGGGAAAATTAATTCGCATAACGATTATTTCGCATAACGATGAGCCCTCTTGCACGGATTAAAATCGTTAACCGGGGGTCCACTGTATTATTATTGTATTATATTATACTATTATTATTATATGTATTATTATTATACATATTATTATTATATAAATAATTTGTAATTTTTGTTCACACAAAAAATATAAGATTTACTGTTATTCCTTATTGCAATAATTGTATAAATAATGTCAACCCATTCAGGACTCCATATTGGAATGGACAGTGACGTCATTTGTTTACACTGAAACAGCCAAGCAATGGACCATTTCTCCTAGGTTGAGCTCTATTTCAAGGCACTTTTCATCATGAAAGCAATTAAAATCATATCTATTTCTGTAATATATCTTCCATTCTATCAAATGAGACCAAAAAAACGAGAATACAACCATAAAAACCATTCAAAATTACCGCTAAGGGGTGGCTAATGGCTGAGAAGTGAACTCCATTATTTATGCTTAGATTTCTTTCATTTTTGGTGTACATTAAGAAGCATCTTTCCATCAGACATTGCCAAGTTTCAATAAGATAGTCCAACAAACAAATGAGATACAATTCCCAAGATCAAGAGCAAGAGTCCCTCACTAGTATCAAGGAACCTTCCTTGAGGTCTGCTTGCTTATGGAAATTTTGCTCGCGTATGGAAGCAAAAAATCGACCCATCAACTGCTCGTATTTGGAAAAACTTGCACGTGGACACGCTCGCAAGTAGAGGTTCCATTGTATATTCAAATTGTTTACAGGTCCCAGCAATGTTTTTAGAAGTGCTGGAGTGTATGAGACTCCTTGAAATAGTGTCAAATAAGAGTGTCAGTATACTGCTGACGTTGCAGTCACTCGATATTGATGATCGTGCACTGCTCCAGTGAACTCCGGCTTTATTTGTTCTCAGGGTTACATCTATCTGTCTATATCTGTCTGTCTAGCTGTCTATCTGTCTAGCTATCTGTCAAGCTGTCTGTCTAGTTATCTGTCTAGCTGTCTGTCTAGCTCTGTCTTTCTTTATCTGTTTTTATCTGCTATCTAGGTCTGTCTGAGTATCAGGCAGCCTTGAGGTTGTCTTCGTGGAATTTGCTTGCGTATCTCTGAACGCAAAAATCAGACCATCAATTGCTCGTATTTGGAAAAAGTGCAGTGAACCCGCAAGTAGGGTTTCCATTGTTGTTCAAATTGTTTCAGGACCAGCATGTTTTAGAAGTGCTGGAGTGTATGAACCCTTGATAATTGTGTCTATAAGAGTGTGTTACTGCCGACTTGCAGTCACTGCGTTATTGTGTCGTGCCAATGCTCCATGAAACTCTGGCTTTATTTGTTTCTCAGTGTTAACATTATTGTTATATCTGTCTGTCTAGTATCTGTCAAAGCTGTATGTCGTAGTTACTGTCTGTCTAGCGTCTGTCTAACTCTGTGTTTTCTTTATCTGTTTTATAACCTGCTATCTGTCTGCGCTAGGTATGTGTCTCATCGCGGTATGTGTATCTCAGTCTGCTGTGGGTGTCTCCAGTTGCCTGTGTATTGTGTCTCAGTTGACGTGTGGTGTGTGTCTCAGTCTGCCTGAGAGGTGTCTCAGTCCTGCGGTGTGTGTCTCAGTCTGCCTGTGTATGTGTCTCAGTCTGCCTGTGTGTGTATCTCTGTCTGTCTCAGAGAGAGGTGTTCATGAACCAGCAAGTATTATATACATTACAGAATCATCATGTCTGATTCCTGAACAAGTGGAAATGTGTATTACTTGCCACAGTCATGCTTATTATGCCTTAGATCTACAAGTACAGTATAGCACTTTGTCTGGTATAGAACTTTGTCTGGTATAGAACTTTGTCTGGTATAGAACTTTGTCTGGTATAGAACTTTGTCTGGTATAGAACTTGTCGTAAGAACTTTGTCTGGTATAGAACTTTGTCTGGTATAGAACTTTGTCTGGTATAGAACTTTGTCTGGTATAGAACTTTGTCTGGTATAGAACTTTGTCTGGTATAGAACTTTGTCTGGTATAGAACTTTGTCTGGTATAGAACTTTGTCTGGTATATTGGGTTATCCTAGGTAATTTACACTATGAATAATAACTGTATATATGTGTACCTGTGAGACAGAAACAGAAATAAAGATTGAGACAGCCAAAGTCAGTCAGCCAGCCACCTTGCCAGTCAGCCAGCCACCTGGCCAGTCAGCCAGCCAGCCACCTGGCCAGTCAGCCAGCCACCTTGCCAGTCAGCCAGCCACCTGGCCAGTCAGCCAGCCAGCCACCTGGCCAGTCAGCCAGCCACCTTGCCAGTCAGCCAGCCACCTGGCCAGTCAGTCAGCCAGCCACCTGGCCAGTCAGTCAGCCAGCCACCTGGCCAGTCAGCCAGCCACCTGCCAGTCAGCCAGCCACCTGGCCAGTCAGTCAGCCAGCCAACCAGCCGGCCTCCCTAACATGTATTACACATGTTCCAGGATTGTTTCTCTTTACTTATGACATAGGTTATAGGACATTCTGGCAGGATGACATTACCGGTGGTATCAAAATTGAAAGGATGTTGCATGAATGTTGCACATGGGTTATTATTGAGGTTTTTGATATTTCCTCGACCACTTGTGACCACATCCATCTGACAGCCACTAAACTCTGGGTCAACATCACTTTCCTCTTAAAAGGGGAAGTGTTAATATAACATGACATTAGTGACTCCGTGGTGTTTACCACACTGTTCTAGCTGATACTCAAACTGGTGCTCCCACAAGGTACTAAGTGCTCCCACAAGGTACTAAGTGCTCCACAGGACTAAGTGCTCCCAAGGTACTAAGTGCTCCCACAAGGTACTAAGTGCTCCCACAAGGTACTAAGTGCTCCCACAAGGTACTAAGTGCTCCCACAAGGTACTAAGTGCTCCCACAAGGTACTAAGTGCTCCCACAAGGTACTAAGTGCTCCCACAAGGTACTAAGTGCTCCCAGAGTTTTGTAATACTGCACACACTGAGTATTAACACCCATTCTGTACTAACCAGTCATCTTAGGCCAATTGTGCCAAATTTGGAGACAGGAAAAATAAAATGTTGATCCATGTTTGGAGCGCTAGCAGTAAGAACGTAGATCAACATTTGCACAGTTAAAGGTTAACGTGTATTAATTTGTATTAATATTAATACATCCAGGACACAAGTGGTTTTAATATAAATAGTAATAATGCAAACACCGGGGATGAGCCTGAGGTATTGACTCAGTCTACCGGGACACTGTGTCACTATCAGTCTACCAGGTCACTATCAGTCTACCAGGACACCAGGTCACTGTCAGTCTACCAGAACACTAGGTCACTATCAATCTATAAGGACACCAGATCACTATCAGGACACTAGGTCACTATCAGTCTACCAGGTCACTATCACTACCAGGACACCAGGTCACTGTCAGTCTACCAGAACACTAGGTCACTATCAATCTATAAGGACACCAGATCACTATCAGGACACTAGGTCACTATCAGTCTACCAGGACACCATGTCACTATCAGGACACCAGGTCACTATCAGGACACTAGGTCACTATCAGTCTACCAGGACACTAGGTCACTATCAGTCTACCAGGACACCAGGTCACTATCAGTTGATCAGGACACTAGGTCATTATCAGTCTACCAGGACACCAGGTCACTATCAGTCTACCAGGACACTTGGTCACTGTCAATCTACCAGGTCTACTCTCAGGTACTAACCAAAGGGGCGGGCACCAGGTCACTATCAGTCTACCAGGACACCAGGTCACTATCAGTCTACCAGGACACCAGGACACTATCAGTACCAGGACACTAGGTCACTATCAGTCTACCAGGACACCAGGACACTATCAGTACCAGGACACTAGGTCACTATCAGTCTACCAGGACACTAGGTCACTATCAGTCTACCAGGACACCAGGTCACTATCAGTCTACCAGGACACTTGGTCACTGTCAATCTACCAGGTCACTATCAGTCTACCAGGACACCAGGTCACTATCAGTCTACCAGGATGCCAGGACACTATCAGTCTACCAGGACACTATCAGTCTACCAGGACACCAGGACACTATCAGTCTACCAGGACACCAGGTCACTGTGACATATCTGTTGTGACATGTCTAGTGTGACATGTATTAATATGTATTAATTTTCAGACTGGTAAGAAGTATCACCGACTGCCAGCTGGTTATCCAACAGGCGGCTCACTACTTGCTGGCAATAGACCAGGTGAGTGACTACTGTGAACCACCTGTGACCACTTGTAAACCACTGTTGTCACTGTGTACCAGCTGTGACCACTGTGTACCAGCTGTGACCACTGTGTACCAGCTGTGATCACTGTGTACCAGCTGTGACCACTGAACTAGCTGTGGTCACTGTGTACTAGCTGTGACCACTGTGTTCCTGCTGTGACCACTGTGTACCAGCTATGTTGTGGCCACTGTGTAACAGCTGTGACCACTGTGTACCAGCAGTAACCACTGTGAACCAGCTATGACCACTGGGTACCAGCTGTAACAGTCACAATACCCCAGCTGTAAAAGTTACAATACACCAGCTGTGAGAGTTAAAATATACCAGCTGTGACAGTTACAAAATACTCCAGCTGACACTTGTAGAGAGTAACACCAGTGCTGACACTTGTAGCAGAGTAACACCAGTGCTGACACTTGTAGCAAGAGTAACACCAGTGCTGGACACTTGTAGGCAGAGTAACACCAGTGCTGACACTTGTAGCAGAGTAACACCAGTGCTGACACTTGTAGCAGAGTAACACCAGTGCTGACACTTGTAGGAGAGTAACACCAGTGCTGACACTTGTAGGAGAGTAACACCAGTGCTGACACTTGTAGGAGAGTAACTTTCACCAGTGCTGACACTTGTAGGAGAGTAACACCAGTGCTGACACTTGTAGGAGATGTAACACCGTGCTGACACTTGTAGGAGAGTAAACACCAGTGCTGACACTTGTAGGAGAGTAACACCAGTGCTGACACTTGTAGCAGAGTAACACCAGTGCTGACACTTGTAGGAGAGTAACACCAGTGCTGACACTTGTAGGAGAGTAACACCAGTGCTGACACTTGTAGAGAGTAAAAACCAGTGCTGACACTTGTAAGAGTAACACCAGTGCTGACACTTGTAGCAGAGTAACACCAGTGCTGACACTTGTAGCAGAGTAACACCAGTGCTGACACTTGTAGCAGAGTAACACCAGTGCTGACACTTGGGGAGACAGCGACTAACACCAGTGCTGACACTTTTTAGCAGACTAACACCAGTGCTGACACTTGTAGGAGAGTAACACCAGTGCTGACACTTGTAGCAGAGTAACACCAGTGCTGACACTTGTAGCAGAGTAACACCAGTGCTGACACTTGTAGCAGACTAACACCAGTGCTAACACTTGTAGCAGACTAATACCAGTGCTGACACTTCTAGCAGACTAACACCAGTGCTGACACTTGTTCAGACTAACACCAGTGCTGACACTTTAGCAGACTAACACCGTGCTAACATTGTTGAGACTAATACCAAGCTGACACTTCTAGAGGTAACACCAGTGCTGACACTTGTAGCAGACTAACACCCGTGCTGACACTTGTAGGACATAACACCAGTGCTGACACTTTCAGCAGACTAACACCAGTGCTGACACTTGTTGCAGAGTAATACCAGTTTCTGACACTTTGTAGCAGAGTAACACCAGTTTCTGACACTTGTACGGAGACTAACCCAGTGCTGACACTTGTAGCAGACTAACACCAGTGCTGACACTTGTAGCAGACTAACACCAGTGCTGACACTTGTAGCAGACTAACACCAGTGCTGACACTTCCAGCAGACTAACACCAGTGCTAACACTTGTTGCAGACTAATACCAGTGCTGACACTTGTAGGAGAGTAAACGCAGTGCTGACACTTGTAGGAGAGTAACACCAGTGCTGACACTTGTAGCAGACTAACACCAGTGCTAACACTTGTTGCAGACTAATACCAGTGCTGACACTTGTAGCAGACTAACACCAGTGCTGACACTTGTAGCAGACTAACACCAGTGCTGACACTTGTAGCAGACTAACACCAGTGCTGACACTTCCAGCAGACTAACACCAGCGCTAACACTTGCTGCAGACTAATACCAGTGCTGACACTTCTAGCAGACTAACACCAGTGCTGACACTTGTAGGAGAGTAACACCAGTGCTGACACTTGTAGGAGAGTAGCACCAGTGCTGACACTTGTAGCAGAGTAACACCAGTGCTGACACTTGTAGCAGAGTAACACCAGTGCTGACACTTGTAGCAGACTAACACCAGTGCTAACACTTGTAGCAGACTAAACCAGTGCTGACACTTGTAGAGAGTAAACCAGTGCTGAACTTGTAGCAGACTAAACCAGTGCTGACACTTGTAGGAGAGTAACACCAGTGCTGACACTTGTAGCAGAGTAACACCAGTGCTGACACTTCAGCAGAGTAACACCAGTGCTAACACTTGTATGCAGACTAATACCATTGCTGACACTTCTAGCAGACTAACACCAGTGCTGACACTTGTAGCAGACTAACACCAGTGCTGACACTTGTAGCAGACTAACACCAGTGCTGACACTTCCAGCAGACTAACACCAGTGCTAACACTTGTTGCAGACTAATACCATTGCTGACACTTCTAGCAGACTAACACCAGTGCTGACACTTGTAGCAGACTAACGCCAGTGCTGACACTTGTAGCAGACTAACATCAGTGCTGACACTTGTAGCAGATAACACCCGTGCTGACACTTCAGGAGAGTAACACCAGTGCTGACACTTGTAGCAGAGTAATACCAGTGCTGACACTTGTAGCAGATAACACCAGTGCTGACACTTGTAGGAACTAACCCAGTGCTGACCTTGTAGCAGACTAACACCAGTGCTAACACTTGTTAGCAGACTAAACCAGTGCTGACACTTGTAGGGAGACTAACACCAGTGCTGACACTTGTAGGAGAGTAACACCAGTGCTGACACTTGTAGCAAATAACACCAGTGCTGACACTTCCATAGACTTAACACCAGCGCTAACACTTGCTGCAGACTAATACCAGTGCTGACACTTCTAGCAGACTAACACCAGTGCTGACACTTGTAGGAGAGTAACACCAGTGCTGACACTTGTAGGAGAGTAACACCAGTGCTGACACTTGTAGGAGAGTAACACCAGTGCTGACACTTGTAGGAGAGTAACACCAGTGCTGAACTTGTAGCAGAGTAAAAACCAGTGCTGACACTTGTAGCAGAGTTAACACTAGTCTGACACTTGTTGCAGACTAACACAGTGTAACACTTGTAGAGACTAACACCCAGTGCTGACACTTGTAGGAGAGTAACACCAGTGCTGACACTTGTAGGCGACTAACACCAGTGCTGACACTTCTAGGGAGACTAACACCAGTGCTAACACTTGTAGCAGAGTAACACCAGTGCTGACACTTGTTAGAGTAACACCAGTGCTGGGCACTTGTAGGAGAGTAACACCAGTGCTGACACTTGTATCAGAGTAACACCAGTGCTAACACTTGTAGCAGAGTAACACCAGTGCTGACACTTGTAGCAGAGTAACACCAGTGCTGACACTTGTAGCAGAGTAACACCAGTGCTGACACTTGTAGGAGAGTAACACCAGTGCTGACACTTGTAGCAGAGTAAACACCAGTGCTGACACTTGTAGGAGAGTAACACCAGTGCTGACACTTGTAGCAGAGTAACACCAGTGCTGACACTTGTAGGAGAGTAACACCAGTGCTGACACTTGTAGCAGAGTAACACCAGTGCTGACACTTGTAGGAGAGTAACACAGTGCTGACCTTGTAGCAGAGTAACACCATGTGCTGACACTTGTAGGAGAGTAACACCAGTGCTGACACTTGTAGCAGAGTAACACCAGTGCTGACACTTGTAGCAGAGTAACAAACCAGTGCTGACACTTGTAGCATGAGTAACACCAGTGCTGACACTTGTAGGAGAGTAACACCAGTGCTGACACTTGTAGCAGAGTAACACCAGTGCTGACACTTGTAGCAGAGTAACACCAGTGCTGACACTTGTAGGAGAGTAACACCAGTGCTGACACTTGTAGCAGACTAACACCAGTGCTGACACTTGTAGCAGACTAACACCAGTGCTGACACTTGTAGCAGAGTAACACCAGTGCTGACACTTGTAGCAGAGTAACACCAGTGCTGACACTTGTAGGAGATAACACCAGTGCTGACACTTGTAGCAGAGTAACACCAGTGCTGACACTTGTAGCAGAGTAACACCAGTGCTGACACTTGTAGCAGAGTAACACCAGTGCTAACACTTGTAGAGAGTAACACCAGTGCTGACATTGTAGGAGAGTAACACCAGTGCTGACACTTGTAGCAGACTAACACAGTGCTGACACTTGTAGCAGAGGTAACACCAGTGCTAACACTTGTAGGAGAGTAACACCAGTGCTGACACTTGTAGGAGAGTAACACCAGTGCTGACACTTGTAGCAGAGTAACACCAGTGCTGACACTTGTAGGAGAGTAACACCAGTGCTGACACTTGTAGCAGAGTAACACAGTGCTGACACTTGTAGGGAGTAACACCAGTGCTGACATTTGTAGCAGAGTAACACCAGTGCTGACACTTGTAGGAGAGTAACACCAGTGCTGACACTTGTAGGAGAGTAACACCAGTGCTGACACTTGTAGGAGAGTAACACCAGTGCTGACACTTGTAGCAGAGTAACACCAGTGCTGACACTTGTAGCAGAGTAACACCAGTGCTGACACTTGTAGCAGAGTAACACCAGTGCTGACACTTGTAGCAGAATAACACCAGTGCTGACACTTGTAGGAGAGTAACACCAGTGCTGACACTTGTAGCAGAGTAACACCAGTGCTGACACTTGTAGGAGAGTAACACCAGTGCTGACACTTGTAGGAGAGTAACACCAGTGCTGACACTTGTAGCAGAGTAACACCAGTGCTGACACTTGTAGCAGAGTAACACCAGTGCTGACACTTGTAGCAGAGTAACACCAGTGCTGACACTTGTAGGAGAATAACACCAGTGCTGACACTTGTAGCAGAGTAACCCAGTGCTGACACTTGTAGCAGAGTAAACACCAGTGCTGACACTTGTAGCAGAATAACACCAGTGCTGACACTTGTAGGAGGTATACTCTGACATCTTAACACTTTTCAAGAGT